TCAGAAGACTTGTGAAGTCAGTTCTCTCACCTACCATGTGGGTCTCCAGGATTAAACCCAGGGCATCAGGCTTGGCCCAAAGCTCCCACTGAGCCATCTCACCCCTGTTGAGTGCATGTTTCTTTCCAATCATCCTTTCCATCTCTGCAAGAGCTACATGCAGACTCACTAGGCACTATATAGCAAGGTTCAAAAATCTACACTTCCATTGCTGGTCTCATATGTGAGCTTACTTTACAACATGCTAGCCAACAATCCATCCTTTGAGCTAGCTCTCTTCCACATCCCTGTATTAGATCTACGAAATAAGGGTCTGTCTTCCCTGATCCAGAGGTACATAAATGGCCCCATTCCTTAGACATAGTAATCAGCTATAATTGGCCACTTGCCCAGTGAGGTTTTCTTTCAAGGGAGCTGCATAAATACTAGGACAGAGGCTGCAGGTATATCTCAGTGGTAGAGTGCATGTTTATTTATGGTATACACAAGGCTCTGGTGTCTCTTTACCAAGAGTTAAGCAAATAAATTCTGAGACAGTTTTCTTTTGAGATGCTATGGCCTGATAATAATTGCTAAACCAACTCTCTCAATTCATGGGTGATGACAACTAAAGTCCAGCAACCCAAGTGTGGTGGTTTTAACAAGAATGACCCCCCATTGATACATACATTTGAATACTTAATCCCCAATCAGTAGAACTGTTTGGAAAGGATTGAGGGTGTGGCCTTGTCAGAGGAGGTGTGTCAATGGGGTGGGCCATTCCCAGTTAGCTCTCTGCCTTGTGCCTGTGGATCAGATGTTAACTTCTCAGCTTCTTCTCCAGCACCATGCTAGTCGGCATGCTGCCATACTTCGCACCATGATGGTCATGGACTCACCCTCTGAAACTGTAGGCCCCAAATCAACTTGCTTTGCTCATGGTGTCTTCACAGCAATAGAAAAGATACTGTCAGGCTTGGTGATGCACTCCTTTAATCCCAGCACTTGGGAGGCAGAGGCAGAAGAATTTTTTTTAGTTCTAGTCTATAACATCTCAAACAAACAAACAAAAAAACAACAACAAAAGTCAAGTAAAGGGCTGGAGAGATGGCTCAGAGTTTAAGAGTACTGATTGCTCTTCCAGAGGTCCTGAGTTCAATTCCCAGCAACCACATGGTGGCTCACAACCATCCGTTATGAGATCTGGTGCCCTCTTCTGGTGTGTAGATATACATGGAAGCAGAATGTTGTATACATAATAAATAAATAAAATCTTAAAAAAAAAAAAAGTCAAGTAAATGAAATAACTAAGACACCAGGCTACAATTAGAAAATTGGAAGTCAAGGCTTTACCTCTGTAATACAAACATTCTCCTTTTTTGTTGTTTTTTTCAAGAGTTTCTCAGTGTAGCTCTGGCTGTCTTGGAACTCACCTTGGATCCACCTGTCTCTGCCTCCCAAGCGCTGGATTAAAGGTATGCACCAACAAGCACAGATCCAAACTTTTTTTTTTTTTTTTTGGGGGGGGGGGACACAGGGTTTCTCTGTGGCTTTGGAAGCTGTCCTGGAACTCACTCTGTAGACCAGGCTGGCCTCGAACTCACAGAGATCTGCATGCTTCTGCCTCCTGAGCGCTGGGATTAAAGGCATGCACCACCAACGCCCAGCTAAACATTCTTATGGTACACAAAAAACACTAAGACACAAACAAGGAAAACTATTTAATCTCTGTAATAAACTTCACCCTCACATTCCCATTTATCTGACAGCCTCCACAAACTGTCAAAATGGCATAGGCTGGTGGGACCACAGAAACCACAGCACTTTAGCCCAGCAGGTTTGAAAGCCATCGAGGCCCTAGTCCTTGCCAAGGATGATGTGCAGGGGAAGTCTTTCCATTGTATACCTCAAGCATCGCTGCTCAGGAAAGGTTGAGCTCTACAGGACTCCTGATGTCTTCTGTTCTTCTGCAGCCTGGCGCCTGGCACTGCGCAGCTGGAAATAACGGTAAGCTCGGACGCTACAGAGGTAACCCCCGTACACAGTGAGGAGCATCATGGAGGCAGAGAAGGTCTTGTAGCCAATGTCAGCTAGCTGCTTGGCAGTTGGCATGTCTTGTCCTACAAAAACAGACTGGTGTTGGTCTCCAAGACAGGCCTCATCTCCTTACTTAGAGCCATTCTTTATCATCTACATCTTCACTATGCTGGTGATCCCACATGGAGCTCTCTGACTCAAAAGTCTGCACGTGAGGTACACAGAAGGCTAGAAGCAGGTACATATGAATGCTGCCAAGCTAACACTCAGCCATCCTTGCTTGTGCTTTAAAAAGTGATTAGCCCACCCAGACACCCAGACTGTGTGCTGGGAATCAAACCTGGGTCCTCTGGAAGAACAGCAAGCACTCTTAACTGCAGAGCCAGCCTCAGAACCACATTTTAATCACACTACTTAATTGTGGTAGTCAAATTCTCCCCTCATGTTAGGACCTGAAGATAATTCAAGGATATGGGGGAGGGGGTGGGTCCTACTCCTAGCATAGTCATGCAGAATAAATCTCCCTTTTCTGTTTTCAACTATTAATCTGGCTTTCACAGTTGGTTTACTGAGACTCATTAGGGCTGGCAGGGCACAGGCTCTGACCCTGAGGGGACAGTCGGTTAGGACTATCTGGTAAATAAACAGGAGACTGTCTCTAGTTGGGTTGAAGTCAAGTTAGTGCAGTGAACTAGGAGAGGGACTCCAGGCAATAGGTAGAAGACACAAGGCTCCAGCAGGCTTTAAGCCCCACAAGATACATGTGTCTAGCATTCTAGGACAGAGAAAAACAGGTCACTAAAAGGATCCAAGGATCACAGCCACCCAGGCCTTGGTGGCTCACACCTTTAATCCCAGCACTCGGGAGGCAGAGGCAGGTGAATCTCTGGGAGTTCAAAGCCAGCCTGGTCTCCAGAGCGAATGCCAGGATAGGCTCCAAAGCTACACGGAGAAACCCTGTCTCAGGGGGGAAAAAAAAATCACAGCCTCCACACCCCAAAGACAAGAATTAAAATTCTTAGAATTTAGATGGTGGGGTTAAGAGAATGGGAAGGTAACCCCACCATCAAGAAAATTCTAGTTGGGCTTCTTCTCTACTCTCCTCCTCTGTTTCTTCTTGGCTCTCTCTCACCTATGTACTCTCTCTGCCTCTATGGCGACCGGCCATGGCGGGCAGCCATTATCCCTGTTCCTCTCCTCTTCTTAGTCTCCCTACTCTGCCGGGCCTTCTAATAAACTTATAGTCAACATGTCTCAAAAAAAAAGAAAAAGAAAAAAAAGAAAATTCTAGTTGTTTGGGCTTTTTTGAGAGTCTTGCTCGTTAGCCTAGACTAGCCTCTTGATCCTCCTTTCTCTGCCCGATGAGTGCTGGAATCATGGGCACAACAGTCACCTCACAGTGCTGGCACTCTAGTTCCACCTTGTTCACTAAAAAAGATCTGAGTATGTTCTAAAATGGGATGTGGCTCAGTTGGTGGAGAACTTGTCTAGCATGCACAGAGCCGGGGGTTCAATCCCCAGCACCGAATTAAACACGGGGAGGACACGGTATATGCCTGAAATCCCAGCACTGAGGATGTGGAGGCAGGAAGATCCTAAACTCAAAATCATCCTTAGCTACTTAATGAATCCCAGGCCACTATGGGCTACAATGAGACCCTGTCATAAAAAAGGGGGGGGGGGTTGATACAAACAGAAGCAAATCCAGAAGAGACTCTGAAAAACTGAAATTATAGGCACAGGTACAACTTTGGAAATAAAAGAACTTTGGAGACTGACAGAACGTTTTCACCTGATGGGCTTTTCTTTCTTTCTTTCTTTCTTTCTTTCTTTCTCTTTTGCAAAAGTTGTTAGGAAAAGTAGGGATGGACTGCAGGTTACAGAAAAGCAAGAAAAATATGGGAAGAATAATCATGATAAGTGACACAGAGGGGTAATTTGCAAGGATTATGTGACTGTATGGTTTTGTGCCCTCTAATGTCAGAGAGCTCAAGACTCATGTTTCTGGAAAACTCAGAGCTCATCATGACAGACCTCTGGTTCCAGTTCTGGGTTTGATCCGAGGCTCAATAAATGAATCTCTCTCTCTCTCTCTCTCTCTCTCTCTCACACACACACACACACACACACACACACACACACACACACACACACACACAGTAAAAATCGCAGCCCTAAAAAAAAAAAAAATCACCCAAGGGGCTGGAGAGATGGCTCAGAGGTTAAGAGCACTGACTGCTCTTCTAGAGGTCCTGAGTTCAATTCCCAGCAACTACATGGTGGCTCACAACCATCTGTAATGAGATCTGGTGCCCTCTTCTGGTGCGCAGATATACAGACAAGCAGAATGTTGTATACATAATACATAAATAAATAAAATCACCCGAGCTGAGGTTCAGTCACTTAGCACTCTTAGGAGGCACCTGGAGTCCGGAGAAAACAGCTCCTGACTAACGGAGCTGAAAAGGTAAGCTATGGTCCCTATAGTCTGTCGGATAAGCAGAAGGTGGTGGGACGCGGAGACGCGGCTTTGTGGAATCGTGAGAAGCTGGCAGAAGGCTGTGGGGTTGGGCTGCATTTACAGGAACCCGCAGATTTAGAAGAGGAAGGGCAGTCGGGCCGCAGTCGCCATGAAGGCGGTAGAGCCAAGGCAGTCAGGGGACCCGTCGATCGCGGTCACCCTGCCCGGGCAGGAGCGACCGCAGCGAAAGCGGGAGCAGCGCGCTCTCAAGGGCACAGGCCGAAGACTCGCGGGGGAGCGGAGGAGCCTGGGAGCCGGGGAGCGGGCGAGCAGGAACCGCCCAGCCCGCGGCCTACCTGGATGTTGCAGCTCGGCCGCGTCAGAACGATTCCTACTCAGTCGGCCACCTGTAGTCAAGAGTCTCACGGCAGAAAGCACCCAGACCACCTCAGTCTCTGGTGCACAGCCCTGGCCGTGACCCCCACTTTCCTGTGAAAACACGCCCACTGGGGCGGGAGCCGGCTCCGAACTTCCGGGACTCTCTCTTCCTGGCTCCGGACGCTTAGACTAGTCTTCCTTTCCGGAATGCCCATTGAATTCTGGGAGTTGTAGTTCTGCTCCATCAAGAGCTTTTTCTTGGCGCCCCAAACTTTAAAAATCGGACAGTTTTTAGCTCAGAACCAGCCAATCGGCAGTTACGGTGCTGTGAGGTAAGCTGTAGCTAGGGTGATTCTCTTGGACTCCTCCAGAGATGGACCGCGCGCCTCCTAGTGCTTGGAGCGACCCTTTACTGAGTGATCCGGCTGTGGCCGACCTCAGGTAGGTACCTGCACTATGAGGCCACAACACGAGGGGTGCCTCGCTAGTGTCACTGTCTTGGGCGCGCGCGACCTCTCGTATGCAGACGGCATTACAGAGCCCCTAAGAAGCGCTGGGGAGACGGGGTGACAGCTTGGGTGGAGGAGGGGATAGGAGGTGCAGGCGCAAGCGAGGGCCACCGGAGAGAAGATGGGGGGAGAGTGGATGTCAAGGCTGGTTTGCTGATTGATGTCCGAGTGTGGCTGCTGCTGTGTAAGAACGATACTTTTTTCACTTGTCTTACATTGAGTAAAACATGCATGCAGTAATACATGACCCTGCCACAGGCACCGCCGCAAAAAAACCCGCCAATTCTTCCAGTTTCTGGAAAAAAAAAAACACACTTTATTGGGTGGACAAGTGGCCTGACAGAGGCCTCAGGTTCACAGTTGACTGAGCAGAGTAAAGGTGTTGGATGGAATCTGTGTCCGCATCCTATCCCAGCCTCCTGGGATGCAAGCTCTGAATTTAGTCAATGCTTGGGAGGGTTCCAGCCCAGCCAGGATGGATGAAAGGGCTCCCCCTCTTCACCTTTCCCGACCTTCACTGGTAAGAACGAATTCTTTTTTTTTTTTTTTTTTTTTTTTTTTTGGGAACAGGGTTTTTTTGTGTAGCTTTGGAGCCTATCCTGGAACTCACTATGTAGACCAGGCTGGCCTGGAACTCACAGAGATCCGCCTGCCTCTGCCTCCCGAGTGCTGGGATTAAAGGCGTGCGCCACCAACGCCCAGCTCAAAACGAATTCTTAAAGGCTGGGAGCAGAGAGGAGTCTGGCACCTTAGTGTGTTAAACATAAAGCTGGCCAGAACCACCGGCTGCCAGTTACTGCCACAGACGAAATAGAGACCCCTGCTGGAGAGAAGCCTCTCAACTCTCAGGAACTATTTATAGCTAGGGCTCCAGGCTGCTGATCTGTGACATTTTCCTGCTGCCCCAACTTTGGAAAAAGGCCAGTGCGGAGTACTTCCCATCCCCCTTCAGTTCGTCCCCCAGCCCAGGGCAGGCTGTTTCCAATGGTCCCTCCCTTAGCTTTCCCAGCTCCTGATGTATGTGGTTAGTATTTCACCAGGACCTCATTCCAAAGAGAGCTGGCACTGAACTCTCAAAAGCCACCAACCACTGTGGAAACCTACTGAACTATTGAGCTCCTCCTTGGCCCCAAGCCTCCAGATACTGGCTAGCACTTCTGGCTGTTTGAGAACAGCTGAAAGAGGTCCTGGGTTGAGCAAAAAGAAGGGGTAGAGTCAAGCTTATGGGATGCAGAAACTGATGACAAGAAGGTGGTGATGATGCCAAAGAGAAGTGGCCTTGTGGGGGAGGACCCTGAGAAGAGAGAGATGGTTAAAAGTGTCAACCGGAGGAGAGGTTGGCTGCCCCAGCCGAAGTTACTGACTGGGGAGGAGGCGGGACAAATAAGAAGGTCAGAGGAGCCTGGGTGATCTGAGCCTGCTATGAAAAAGTGCAGCTCGGTCAGCAGATTAAGTTCCCGCTCCCTAAAGAGGGTGCTGGCGGCAGGGTGCGGGCTAGGAAAAGCCTGGAAAGGTCACACAGGGTGGGGAGGTGCTGGCAAAGCTCTAGGAACCAGGAAGTCGTTGGGAAGCATGGCAAGCCCCCAGGGGGCCAGAGATGCCAGTGTGGAGCAATTCTTGTGCCAAGGTAGCCTGGGGGAGGGGGAAACATAATGAGCAGAGGCTTCTGAGGACGCAATTGTTGCTAGGAGAAGTGAGAAGGGAGTTGTTTGAGGTCTTTGTATTTTGCTAACAAACACTAAGATCATTGATCTGTGTGGGGCCTAGCAGAGGTCAGCCACTGGGGTCTGTGTCAGCTCAGGTGTCCAGACTCTTCCCTTGGCAGCCTTTGCCTTCCTGTGGCTAAAGTACTTCTTCAGTCACTTAATGGGGCTTGGGACAGATTCCCAGTGTGTGTTAGGCAGCAACCAGCAGTTGGCAGCCTTTGCCTTCCTGTGGCTAAAGTACTTCTTCAGTCACTTAATGGGGCTTGGGACAGATTCCCAGTGTGTGTTAGGCAGCAACCAGCAGCCCTTGACCCAGCCCCTTCCCTCCCCCCCCCACCCCGCCCCTGGAGCAGGCAGCACTGGGGCTTGATTCTATGCTTCCCAGAGGCCAGTGAGGAAGAGCCGATTCTGCAAGAGGCTCTGCAGCAATTCTGTAAACTCCAGGTATGTAGCTGAGCCCCACAGCCTCCTGTCCTCAGTGGCCTTCAGTGAGGACCCTGTTGGCTGGGGAGTCCTGGAGAGCATTCTGATGACAGGTGTCACAGCTTCGGCTTGTCTTCGTTGGGGCAAAAGAGCTGCCTGTCCTGGGCCCTGGCCCCACTCACATGTGTTCTGGGTGGTTCTGCAGGCAGCGAATGAATTCACCCACTGGCTGGCCCTCATAGCACACCTTGTACACAGCAGTGAACAAGGGAAACCTAGAGTGAAGAGGAGGCTCAGCTTAGTCCCTTACTCTCAACCACCTCTAACATCCATTCCCACCCAGTCCAGACTCAAGGGCTAACCCACCTCTTCCCTAGCCTCCAGCCTCAAGAGTCCAGGCGGACACCAGAACTCAGTTGCCACCTGTGGGGAATCTAAATTCCTGGCCATAGGATTTGGGTTGCTGTCTGCCCTGATCCTTACCATACTGTACTTGCTTATCTGAGTTCCAGGCTTTAAGAGATTTCTGTTTCTGACTGAGTAACCCATTTAACTCTGGACTTCAGTGTCATTGGTTCTAAAATGAGTCTAGTATGATAGAGTAGCAAAAATGTAGTCATTTATATTTCATGTGGCTGTATACTTTGCCAGTTACTTCTTGTTTCCTGTACCCAAAGCCATGAGTTGTTCTTCTGAACCTGTACCATATCCTCTTCCTCTGGGATTCTCTCTGTGCTCCCTGGAAAGGAGCACTCTGAGGCAGAGCCCATCCTCCTCAGCACCCAGGACAGGCGTCGGGAGACAGAAATGGTGGTGTTAGGGGAATGAACAAACAAACGGGTACGACAGTCAAGTGGGTTTTCCTGTCCTAGAACTCCAGCTCCTAGGGCAAGGGACAAGGAGGAAAGAACAGAAAGTGGGGGCTGCACAGAAGGGCCCACACAACTGGTGTAAAGATCACAACGCAAAAGCCTGAGCTGGCTGAAGATACCCGGCAGCCCAGACTCTCCCAGCTCTCTCTGTCCATCGTATGGGTTATGTGTGATTCAAGAAGATGGGGAAGAGGGTGGCAATCAACTTCCGGTTCCCTGCCCTAGGGACTGTGGCAAACACTCACTTGTCCACAAGGCCCTTGTGTTGGAGGATGCTGTGGAGCTCCCGGGCTGTCTGGGGTCCCTGCAACTTCTGCCCGTTCAGCATCTCTTTCTCCAGCTGCTCAATTGACTGTGAAGAAAATGACGTGTGGATGGAAGTGGACAAGGCTGCCCGAGCAGGAGAATCTGGTGGTCAGATGGGAATTGGGATCTCCGCAAGCGGAGAGGGGTTTGGGAATGTTCAAAACAATCTCCCCTTCCCGGCGATTGAACCCAGGGCCTCAAGCAGACTTTGTGTGGTAAGTGCTTGCTGTACCACTGAGCAGCATTCCAGGCCACGCCTGATTTTGTTTGCTTGACTGCATAGCCTTGTGGGCATCATTCTCCTGCCTCAGCCTCCCAGGTGCCACTGTGCACAGCCACCTCCTGCTGATCACCCCCACTTGACACCTGCATGCCTACCTTTCCAGTACGAGCAAAGGCCTCTGCCACCTTGCGGTTCCGCCCTCCATAGCAGGTAGTGATAAGATCAGCAACGCCGCAGCTCTCCAGGAAGGTGGCAGAGGACACAGAACCACGACAGAAGAGCTTGGCAAAGGCGATCATCTCCATGAGCCCCAGCCGGATCACTGCTGCCTTGGTGTTGTCACCAAAGCCAAGCCCATCACAGAAGCCAGCCCCAACGGCCACTATATTCTTTGAGGAATAGAGGTCACGGGTGAGAAAGTTTCCTCTCTAGTGACTCCCTGTGTTATCATATCAGCCATGACACGCCCACTAAATGAAGTATGACATGGCCTCTTACACTGTATCCTCTGCTTACTGATTTCCCATTTAAAGAAAACATGCCCCCCTCCGCCCCCGCCCCGCGCGTGTGTGTGTGTGTGTGTGGTTAAACAGAGTTTCTCTGTGTAGTCCTAGCTGTCCTGGAACTCACTCTGTAGACCAGCTGGACTCGAACTCACAGAGATCTGCCTGCCTCAGCCTCCTGAGTGCTGAGATTAAAGATGTGTACCACCAACCTTGTTTTTTTTAATAATTTATTTATTTTTGTTTACGTTGGTGTTTTTGTTGGCATGTATCTCTGTGTGAGGGTGTCAGATCTTGGAGTTACAGACAATTGTGGGCTACCATGTGGGTGCTGGAAATTGAACCTGGGTCCTCTGGAAGAGAGGTCAGTACTCTTAACCACTGAGCTATCTCTACGGCCCCCTTTTCTTTTTAGACAGTGTCTCACTATGTATCCCTGACTGTCCTCAAACTCACAGATATTTGCCTGACTCTCCCAAGTGCTGGGATTAGAGGTACATGCCACCATAGTTCTGGCCATAAACTTTTTGGGTACCCTCAACATCTTGTCTTCCATTAACCTGGTCATCTCTTCAACTTGGACCATCACATGGACCCAGAGCTGAGTAAGCCTCAAAGGAGCCCTAAGGAGAATGGAAGAAGTGCCCACTGCTGGATGGATAAGAATCAGTGGGTCCAGTTACCCTGGCCTTGCTTAAGGGAAGGTGTGGAAATGGAAATATTGACCAAATGCAAGAGTTATGCTGGGCCCTCTGGGGACTGCTCCCCACTCCAAAGCTGCCTCTGTACCCTCTCACCTTCAAGGCCCCACAGATCTCCACTGTGTCCACCTCTTGTACCACAGTGATTCGAAAGTTGGGTGTCTGCATCAGCTCCTTCAGGAGCTGTCCCTGGGCAGAATCCTTGCAGCCTAGAGTGGAGAAGGGGTAAGGCTTTGAGGGTAACTTTTAATTTTTATCTTTAAGGTGGGCTCTTGATGTGTTGCCCAGGCTGGCCTGTAACTCCTGGGCTCAAGAAATCCTCCTGCTTCAGACTCCTGAGTAGCTAGGACTATAGGTACACACCACTGCACAAGTACCCGGAAAAGGGAAACTGGACTGTCCTTCACACACCAGTCAAAGCAAGCCACGCAGCCCCTTCCCTGGGGTGTCCCACCCTCTCCCTTAGCTCTGATGCTTTCTTCTTTCTCTGCCCTGTGGGATTAGCTAAGGGGCTCGGGAAGCAGCTGGAGCTTCATGGTGTGTGCAGGGGCTCTCACCAATGGTTGTTTCACAGAACTTCTCATCAGCCACCTCGCTGGCAATGTTGGCCCCCATCAGCACGCTCATGGGGATGCCAAGGCGTTCCCCAATCACTTCAGAGATGAGCTTCAGCCCATTGGGGCCCTCGTCTACCCCCTGGGCATAGGATGGGACTCAGGCCAGCTGTCCCTTACACCCAGCTGAGGGCTTCTCTCCCAAGAGTTGCCTCTTCCAAGCCCACTGCTTATCTGTGTCCCTCTCCAGTGATCCTGCCCCAGCACCTCCCAGCCCAGACTTGCTATGAGGACAGTAGACAGCAGTGAACAACCAGCCTCATCAGACTCCCCCCACACACTCTCAACCAACGTTCTTCTCCAAAGTAGCGTATTCCTCACATCCCCAAAGAACTCTCTAGACACCCAAACCATTTATAGCCCAAGGACTGCTTCAAACTAGCTGTCTCATCATCTCCCAAGCGAGCTCACTCTCGTCTCTCTCAGCTTTCATGCCTCCTAAACTTCTCTAGCACGTCTGTCTCCATAACTGTGTCATCTTCCTTGGTAACTTGGCAGTTGACTCTTCTTTTTCTCCTCTCCTCTCCTCTCCTTCCTTCCTTCTTTCCTTTCTTTCTTCCTTCCTTCCTTCCTCCTTTCTTCCTTCCTTCCTTCCTTCCTTCCTTCTTTCCTTCCTTCCTTCCTTTTCTTGTGCTGGGGATTGAACCCAGGACCTCATGCACACTAGGTAAATTATCCACCACTAAGCCACACTCCCAGCCCCAACTGCTTTCTTAGCTTTCCCTAAAGCCAGTCCTTCCCATCTCTGGACTCTTTCTGCACCCCCACCCCCACAAAGGAGTCCTTGGTACCTTAATAAGAGATATGCCAATAGTATTGGCCTTCAAGTGGCCCTTGAGCTGGTCACAGATCTTGCCAATGAACTGATGGGGCACCACAAAGATGAGGATGTCAGCATCTACTGCAGCCTGGACAATATCTGGGACAGCCACCTGTGGGGAGACCAGATGCTCATGTGCCTGGCAGACCTCTCCTAGTCCCTAGGGGACTCTATTCAGAATATCTTCAAGCCCAAGAGTGGTGTTGTGGGAGGGGGCATTTGAGACTGTACTGGAAGATCAGAACTTCTTGTATTCTGTCCCCAGCTGTCCTGCCTCCTTCACAACAGCTCTCCTGGGTCCTTGAGGCCTCCTGGCACACTCCTCACTACAGCCACACTCTTGGCCCTTGGCTGTGGGTCAGTGAAGACTGCCAAAGGCAGCCTAGGCTTGGCAGGAGGAAGAGGCCAAATCAGATTTCATCACTGCTTCTTAGGGGCCCTAACTTGGCAGGGAGAACCCGGATCTTTCTGCCTATTCCCTGCTCCCCTTTATCTAGGCAAGGAAAGTTCCATATGGATTTGACCAAAGACCAAAAGTCCAATGATCGGCCTTCAAATCTGCTAATAACCAGTGAATGAGTAACAGGATTAGAGTTCAGGGCAGGCATGAGAGACTGGACCCAAGTCTAGGAGCCTGAGAATCAGTCTTTGGTTGCCACGGAAACCAACTTCTCCCTCTCCCCTCCTTTTCCCAACTAAGCATCTATAAGAGGTGGTACATTCAGATTCCAAACAGTGCCCAAAGGAACCATTTCGGGGCTGCATGCCCAGGGATACTCCAGGTCTGGAGTATCCCACCTGAGACACTCCCCCAGGCCTGCTGGCACCTAAAGTGGCCTCCTTTATGGAGGAGACACCTCGAAGTCAGATTTGGACATTGATTGTTGCACACCCCTGCATAGCTTCCCTCTCTTTCCTCACAGTGTGTTGGGGCTCACCACATTGGGGGGCAGCTTATGCCCTGGCAGGTATTTAACGTTCTCATGCTGTGTGTTGATGATCTCAGTTAGCTTTCTGCCCCCGATGTCTTCCTCAAACACCCACATGGTCACCCGTGGGTCAAAGTGTGCCAGCCGAGCTGCATTGCTACCCACGATCTTGGCAATGGCTGAGCCCCTGTTGGGAGGGGAAACACAGAGAAGTGGAGTGGGGGGAAGGGAGGAAACAGCCTCCTGGGTAGGACCTCAAAAAGCTTGTTGGATTTTTTACATTTTAACTCACATGTCACCTCCCCCATCTCCCGTGAAAAATGTGCCACCCACGACTGGCAATGGAAAGAAGATTCGGTCTACTCTAGTCTTTGCTGTTAGGGAGGTGGGCCAACTTTCTGAGCCCACCCCAGACCTTAGCAGCTTTTCAGGCAGGGAAGAGGGACAGAGCACTCTGCTCACTTTCCTATGGCGAACAGGTGCAGCTGCCCAGGCAGGCACAGCGAGCGAAGGCTGGGCACAATGTGTCCTGTGCGCAGTAAGCACCGGAGATAGCCCCAGGAGTCCAGCAGGCTCGGGGGGGGGGGGGCGGCATTTCCTACCCTCTGCTTGTTTCCCGCCCACCCAGACTCCCTTTGGGAAGTCCCTCTGCCCTTGGGGGAGCCATGCCCTTCACAGAACTGCTTACCAGTTCCCGGAGCCGACAATGCAGACTTTCTTGCCAGCCATGGTGCCGCTTCTAGCTTCTCTGCCCCAGCGGGTGTGGGCTCTGAGTATTTAACTCCACCACACGTGGGTGCAGCCAAGCTCCGCCTCTGAGGTGGCCCAGAGGCTGACTCCTAGGGATAGGGAGTCTGGCCCACAGAAAGGCGAGTAAAGGGTAGAGACAGGTGGGAAACAGGAATGGGGCAGAGGCCAGACCAGCTCTTCCTCTTGTGTTTGCAGGATGGTGCTGGCCAATTTGTTCCTTTGGCATCAGCTTTAGTTTCCCACCTACTTGCAATGGGCCCTTCTGGAGGCTAGCCAAGAACCAGTCCCCACTATTCCCTCGGTCCCCAACACTGAAATAAATTGCAATTAGAAGGGTTGGGAGTGGTGGTGCATGTCTTTAATCCCAGTGCTTGGGTGGCAGAGGTAAGATCTCTATGAGTTCAAGTCCAACCTGGTCTACAAAGTGAGATCCTGTCTCAAAAAAAGGAAGAAAAGAGAAAAAAAATAAGGAACTAAAGGAACTAGCGTTAGTGACAAAATGGGGGAGTGTTTTCAAAGGCAGGCACTTCATCTCATGCTAACACAGCCCCCAGTCCCCATCCCCGCATCCTGAGCTGCTCCAACTTGTTCTCTTGAAATCATTCTCATGGTGTTAACCCCACCACAGGCTCTGGGTAAGGGGGTCAGGGAATGTGAGCCCACTCCTACGGGGGACACCACCACAAGGTGAAAGGCTGCTTTAGGGTACCCCAGGCCAAGGATAAAATATCCCAGGAGAAGCTGGGTGTGGTGGCACACACCTTTAATCCTAACATTTGGAAGGCAGAGGCAGGTGGGTTTATGAGAGTTCGAGGCCAGCCTGGTATACAGAGTTCCAGGACTGCCAGGCTACACAGAGACACCCTGTCTTGAAAAACCAAAAAGAACAAGGTCATCTTGATTCATATCAGGAACTCCCAATGAGTCCCTTCACCTCAGATAGTCCCCATTTGAAGGTCTATAAAGGGAAGGCAAGGAAGGTCAAAGGTAGGCCTCTGTTGCCACATGGCCCACAGTTCTTCCAGGCTTCAGGAAGGGTGGACAGGTGGTGGCCAGCACATACACTGTCCCAGAGAAGCTTGCTGCTTCCTTCACTTTCCTCTCTGGTTCTGCCTATCCCACAGAGACCAGAAAGGAGAAGCCAGGCTTAGAGCAGCACTGTCTAACTCTCAGGGGTGGCTGTGTCTCCTGGAGCTCTGTGGTCTCTGATGCCCATGTGTGTGACTTCGGGGGAAGGGGGAGGGAGAATGTCAGCCCACATCCAGCAGTTTGGGCTCCATGTCATCCATGGCCATCTGTTTGACTAAGGGGAGGAGCTTGGGTTTCCAAGCCACTCTGGAAAGCACAGGGCAGGCTCCTCACCCTCCAGTGCTGCACTTTGACCCACAGGGCAGACACCACTGTATGCTCATGTGCAGACCTCCTGGCTTGGCAAACCAGTAAGTGCGTGTTGCTATCCCCCAGGCTACCATTGACCAGTAACAGTAATCAGCAGTAGGTTAGAGGGGAGACTTGGTGTAATCAGTGGTAAGAATAAGTGGGTAGGAGGTCAAGACTGGAAGTCTTTTCTCAGTCCAGGGAGTCCACAGAAAAAGCCCACCATATTATCACGGCCAGGTAGTCCCTATAACGGGAACAAACATGAATTGGTTGTTTTTCATCTAACTTTCTTCTAATGCAGAACGAGCCTCCCACAGACCACTCCTTTATCACACTGGCACTGAGATGAAGGCGCCAGTGCCAGGCTGCCAGCTGGGAGCCTGATTATGAGCGGCAGAAGAGAAAGGATGTTCCTGTCCCTGGCACGTATGATAGGAACCCTAAAGAATGGGCATTTGTGCATGAGATGAATGCCTCGTGTTTGCTTAAATACTCCCATCTTCTTGCCCCTCCATCCTATTAGGTAGTTTAGAGAAACAAAGCCCGTGGCCATTTGCACGGGAATAAAGGGGGTGCTCATTACAGAAGTTGTATCACCAAAGCTTCTCCAAGAGCAAGCTGTAGAGTACCTGCTCGAAATTCATGATTCATCTGTCACTCATTATATATGCAATTAGCCTGGGTGAGAACAAATGCTATTTCAGTGCCCTTCATGTCCCATTTCTCCATCCCAAGCTACTTATCCCTTTCCCTTCTCAATTCTGAGGAGCCAGTTTGTTCTCGATTGTGAGAAGACAGACAATGCAAGCACATTTCCACCCATCTACTCAATGGGGATGATTTTATTTTTGTGAGACAGGGTCTATGTAGTCCTTGCAGGCCTCAAACTCACAGAGACCCTCCTGCTTCTGCCTCCCAAGTGCTTGGATTAAAGGCGTGTGCTGCTACACTGCACCAATGGATAGGATTTGTAACTGTGACTTTAGAATACAGCAGCACTCACTGCTCCAGGCCCTCTCCCTGGACAAGGGCACAGGAGTGAGCCACCAGGTGGAAGTAGGCAGAACTGCAGGCATGCCATACTTCTACTAGGGGGAATTAAGATTCCTCAGAAGATGCCAAGCAGCCCTCCTTACTCATCGCAAGGAGAAAGCATTCTACACTGGGTTTAAGAACAGACTTCCTACCTTGGGCATTGTAATACACACCTATAATCTCCATTTGGGGGGCTGAGGCAGGTGGATAGCGAATTTAAGGTCAGCCTTGGAGACATACAAAGCCCCCTATCACCATAACACAACACAAAGAAAACCCTGGTGTTTTGGGGCTTTAAGTCAAACCTCAGTAAGTATGAGATCAGTAAATTGGTGGGTTTGTACAGAAAATACAAGCGCCTGCTGTCACCAGGGCCTTGGCACCAGCTCCATGGACATGTGCCTTTGGGAACAGTAAAGACTGGTTTCATCAACACCAAGGGGCCACAGACACCAAGGACAAGTTGTTCCAGCCATCATCAAGTGACCTAGAGATTTCAAGAACAAGGGAGAAGCCAGCAGTGCCACTGCCTTGTCCATTCTTGCTGGATGAGATGGGTGCAATCATCCCAAGAGCACAGCTTACTCTAAAATAAGACCCAGAGTCCCCAAGGGAGACTCATTTCCCCAGATCCCCAGAGCCTGCCACAACTGACACCTATCAAGCACTCAATAAACACCTGTCAAATGTCCATAACAGAAGGCCCAGACAGACAAGACACAGCAGTCCCACTCTTCAGAAGAGTCTTTTATTAAAACTGGGTGACATCAATGAGGAGACAATACAAAAAAAATTTGGTCCATGAAAAAAAAAAAACAAAACAAACAAGCAAACAAAAAACCCACAATTCAGTTAATAAACAGTCATCAACAGAGACACTGCAGGAGTGCTGAGTTTCCTCATGACGCTTCCAACCAGGAGTCAGGCTGGGGCTCAGCTGCCCCAGGGTTGTCCAGTGTCGCTGTGGGGAGAACTTTCCAAGGGGATAGGTAGAGGACAGGGGGAAGACGGAGAGAACACTGCTGCCCCCAGTACAGAACAGGCAGGGAAAGGGGGCAGGAACACTTGCTCGCAGGAGCCTGAGGTGGGGTGGGGAAGCAGGGGCTTTGTCAGTTCTGTGAGTTCAGAGCCCATGCTCAACGGAATTCCCCGGTGCCCAGCTGTCTCCCACCCTGCAGTGTTGTCTGCGAGCTGAGCCTGGGGTATGCTAACTCCAGGCGGTAAAACCTGGAAGAACCTGAGGCTCCCCTGGAAAGATGCAAAGATACTGTTCCAAGGAGTCAGGATACCACCTTCCTGCTGCTACCTGAGGGGTCTGAAGCTTTGAGGGCAGGGGGTGGGGAGACACAAACCCATTTCAGACCTATTCTCCAGCCCTAGGCGCTTTCACTCCTCAGTGCCCTAGAAGCCACCACTGGGTTTCAACTGGGCAGACATGGGACAGGAAGACAGGGATGGCCTAGGGCTATACCCGTTTGATTTTAGGCCTGTTTCTCCATTTAAGGGAGGGGGCAGGGTGGAGTGAATGAACAAGCCACTCCTCCAACAGCAGGAAGGAACAACCTCTGCTGGGAAGGGAAGGACAGCACCCCAGCTTTGGTCCCTGGGGCCCTGATAGGGAAAGGCAAGATCCCCCTCCCAAATGCCATGGGTTACGACAGATGTGGGGAAATCCTGTACCAGGTGGGCAGGTGGGTGAGCGGTTATGGGAGTGTGTGGGAGGGAGCAACAGTTCAAAACACACTCCAATACTGACATGGACCCACTAAGGGGTCACACAGCACTGAGACAGGAGGTCAGTCCAGAGGGCAGGGACCGACCTGGGGCTCAGTGAAGCCCAAGAGCCTGGGCTCCTTTAGTGCCAGAGGGCAAAGAGTAAAGGGAGAATATGCTCCAACCTGTGGAGGGAAGGGAGGAAGATGAGTCACCAGGAGGGTTAAGGTTAACTAGCTTACAGAGTGCCCGAGGCCTGAGTCTCAGAGGAGGGGACAGCTCCCAACACCTGGGTCTCCTCCTAAGGGCAGGATCAGTGTAGCTGGTCTCCCTGAAGACCACCTGGCCTCAAGAGGCCCCAGTCATTTCAGAGCATTGATTACCACTATGGGTTCTCTAACACTATCTAGAGGTCCTATGTAGACCAGGGATGGGGTAGGGAGGTAGAGGCACATGGGAACTTCGTGGGGAGAAGCTGAAGGGGAAGGCTGGGGTGAAGAAGAGGACAATAGGTGCCTGTGAAACAGAAATGTGACACCCTCTTCATCGTGATGCTATCCTTGAACCAACAGCATCTCCTGGAATGCCTCAAGCAAAACCAGCACAGGTATGTTGAGGCAGGCAGCACAGGGCCCCAACAGAATTGGTGCAGCCAGTGAGGGCGGTAGAGGCCCTATGTATTCCGGATTCCTAGGGCTTGCTCTAACTCTTGCCGCCTCTGCTGCACCTGAAGAGAAAACAGGAGTGGAGCTTGAGACATCGAAAAACCCAACACCCCTGACATCCATTCAAAGGTACAGACTCCTGTCTTTTGTCATCTCTCTAGTGTGCCCCAGGCATAGCACCAACCTTGGAGTAGAAGTATCGGCACACAGCCTCCTGAGCCCAAGGCTGGAAGTAGAACTCAGCACGGCGTTCCTCTTCTGGGTTACCTACCACATCAGTCATAGTCTGAGAGAGAAGGGGAGAAGAGAACAAGCATGATTCCTGCTTCCACATCTGCTCTTCAGTTGAACTGTGTCCCTTGCCACCTGCCTCAAAGATGCTGAAATTCTTTTTTTTTTGTTTGTTTTTGTTTTTTCGAGACAGGGTTTCTCTGTGTAGCTTGGGAGCCTATCCTGGCACTCGCTCTGGAGACCAGAGTGGCCTCGAACTCACAGAGATCCGCCTGTCTCTGCCTCTCGAGTGCTGGGATTAAAGGCATGCGCCACCAATGCCCGGCTAGGATGCTGAAATTCTAATTCCTCTGTGCATGTGACCTGATATGGAAATAGGGTCTTTACAGATGGTCAAGTTAAGATAAGCTCATTGGGATTGGCCCTAATGCAGTATAACTGGTGCCCTTATACAGGAGGGAAATATAGAGACAGACACAAAGACACAATGAAGACACATGGAGAATGTCTCAAGCCTAAACTGAGGGACACCTGTGGTTCCCAGAAGCTAGTGGAGAGCACAGAACAGCCCTGTTGATGCTCTCCTTCTGGACTTCCAGTCTCCATCACTGGGAAACAAACTCCCATTGCTGAAGCTACCAAGTCTGGGTCAGGCTTCTTTAAAAGCCCCAGCAGACAAAGACAATACCCCAGACTACCACAGAGTCACCACCAGGTGCAGGCCCTTTCTGGTGCTCCTCTGCTCAAAAGTGCACTAGTCACAGCAGTCACAGCAAGGCAGGACGCCAAGGATGCTGCCCGGGTACACCTCCCTGCCTGAGCGTATGATGCTCTTCTTTGGGAAGCATCCTCAACTCCATTCTCCATGGTCTCCCAGGGATTCTCCATTCATCTACTACTCTTTCTTTTGAACAACTTTACTAATTCCAGTTAGTTTGCCCATGGTTCACTATTTTTAGTAACAGTAGCCTATTTTTTCCAAATGGAACACATCTGTGGAAGAGGAGAGCCCAGATCTTCAGCTCTAACCCAACAGCCTGGAATCAAGTGACAATACTTTGGAAGTATTAACTATAGACCTGATGGTTCTGCCTTGATTTCCCTTATCAACTATAAAACAGACCCTGGGATATGCTAAAAGAATGTGGTCCCTTAGC